GAAATGAAAAGATAAATAAGGCACAGTTCATGGTCTAGGAGGGAGACACACAGTAAACAAACAATCAGGTACAGCAGTGAGCAGTTCTATAATGAGATTGGGTGTGAACGCGTTCTGTAAACAGCCGAGGTATGCAGCGGGCTGGGGGACGCAGCAGCATGGGAGCGGACTTTACCCCCACTACTGAGGGCCAGGCCGAGACCAGCAGCCTGCCGCCCGCCCTGGGGCTTTGGGAGCTGAGGACGGGCCGAGGCTAAGGGGTCCAAAGACCAGGGCCGAGCACAGAGCCCTTCCAGGTTGGTGTGTGCGTGTGGATGTGTGTGTAAGAGAGAGACAGACATTATCCATCTTCAGAAATTCTCATTGTCCCAGACGAAACTCTGTACCCATTAACAGACTCCCACCCCCTCTGCCCCTAGTCCCTAGTAACCATTACAGAGAGATAGGCAGGTGGACTTTACGACAGTGGAGTAATGGTTACTAGGGACTAGGGGCAGAGGGGTTGGGAGTCTGTTAATGGGTACAGAGTTTCGTCTGGGACAATGAGAATTTCTGAAGATGGATAATGGTGATGGTTGTACAACAGTGTGAATGTACTTAATGTCACTGAATTGTACACTTGAAAATGGTTAAAATGGTAAATTTTAGGTTATGTGTATTTTACCTCAATATTTAAAAAAATTGTATTTTTTTTAATGGTCCTTAGAAAAAAAGGCAGTTCCTGGTCAGTGGTCCTACCCTCAGCCCAGGATTTTTCAACAACAGCATATTTTGACATTGACATTATGGGCTGAATAAAAGAATTCTTCGTCGTGGGCACCATCTTGTATTTTGTAGGTTGCTTAGCAGCATCCCTGGCCCTGACCTACAAGAAGCCAGCAGTCCGCCCCACCCCAACGTGACAACTCAAAATGTCTCAGACACATTGCCAAATGCCTTCTGGGGGCAAAACCTCCCTAGCTGTAGTCGGCAGCAGAGCAACAGAGATGGAGGAGGCAGCTGTCCCAGGGTGGAAGGGTCTTGCCTGGAAGGCAGGCAAAGGCCAACACATGCTGAGGGCCCCCAGGGAGTGGCGAGCAGGGTTTGAAGATCCAGAGCATGGCGTAGTGGGCGTGGCTAGGTGCAGTGGGCGATAGGATCAAGCTTCGCTCAAATCCGTCGCCTGCATGCAAGGGCAGAGAAGTGAGGGTGCTCACTGCTGCCATTTCCACTCTCCCACCTCCTGCCCACTCCCCTCCCCCCATCCTCCCAGATGAGAAGCAGAGGAAGTTGAAATTGTCACCTACAGCAGCTGGTGGTGCCTTCTTAAAAGGGCCAGGGGCTTCTGCTGCTACTCCTTCTCCCCATAAGCAAAACCAGTGTCTCAGGGTGTGCTGTATCTCCTTTCAAGGCAACTGTAAAAATAAAAGCAAACAAAAACAGAATTTTTAACAGTTACAGCTGACATGCAACAAAGTTGAAACTCTCTCTAAGTGTGTGAGCAGGATGTTCTCTTAACCTAATCTTTCAGAGGAAGGAAGCAATTAGAAATATTGAGCACCTGCCAGGTGTCCTACTCCATGCTGAATCTAAGCAGATAAAGCCCCTGCCTCCAAGAGGCACAGGCTAATGGTGACAGTGGAGAAGAGAGGAGGGAGCTTTGAGGAAGACATAGAGGTGGGGCAGAAGGTGCAGGCCTGGCTGGGGCAGTGTCTCCCAGTAGCTTCCAGGTGTGGATTCTGCTGTTCCTCTCACCTGAGATGCCCCTTTTAGGGAGCACCCAGCTCCTCCCCAGAGATTTGGAGAGTCACTTCAGTCCATTTGCCTGTGGACCTCCTTCTTCCCTCTTGGTAGTTTCTTATAAGTGGATTTGACCAGCCCACTTACCCTGGGCCCCAGGGGCTCAGGGTAGGTTCTTGATGGTAAGCTGTATCAAGGGTTCTAGGACAGCAGTCAGCAACTCTCCCTAATCCCAGAGCTTTTGTTGACTCAAACACATGCAGGACCAGAGAGGACAGGCAATGGAGAATGGCCTGGCTGGGAAGTAAGGGGGATGAGGACTGACAGGCTCAGGGGGATTTCGGCCCGCTGAGCTAATCTTGGAGCTGGAGCTGTGCAGAATGCTACTCCCCTTCCCGCTTATCTGCCCACCTCTGGAAGGATGGTGTGTCACTGCTTCAGACGGTGGTCCTCCAGGCCTGGCCTGGGAGGGGAGCTTGATTAGTGTGGCTTGGGACCCTGAAGTTTGCTGGGTCTCAGAGCAGGTACTCCTGGTTGTCTACGCTATGGAGCTGACAGTCAACAGGAAGTGAGTCCCAGGGTGAGAGGAGGCCGTGTGGTCCCCAGGCAGGAAGTGAATTACGGCGGAGTCGTCTCGAGCAGCTTTGTGGGGGCAGGAGCTTGAATTGTCTGTGGGGCAGCAAGTGGCTAGAGGAAAGGAGGACACGGCCATGGTAAGAGATTGGCTCTGACCTAAACTTCTTAGCCTGAGTTGGCCAGGGGGACACCACATCCACCTCCCTGGGAGTGCCACGTTTGGGGCTCTGTCCATGCCTGGTGCAGCCAGACCTGCGGGTGGCTGTGGGGGCCCAGGCATGCCCCACTCTCCAGGCCTTGAGGGGTAAGAGGATTTACACCAGGTAGGGACATTCTAGGCCAGGAAGCCCTGCCGGTTTGAATAGGGAGGTGGGAAAGACCGTCTGAGTCCTGGGCAGAGTGGGTGGGTGGGTCCCGGCACGTGGGGGTGGCAGCTGAGGAGGGAGACAGGGCCTTCTTGCCCCACTTGCATTCCTGTTTGACCTCCTGGCTCTGCTGGCTTGGACCCTCAGTGCCCGAGCCTAGTGGAGGAATTCTTGATTCCGCTGGAGGCCTCCTCTTCTTCTTGCTGCAGCCTCCCCCACCCCCAGCTGTGGGGACGGGGACGACAGACATTTGCAGCTTTCCATGAGAGGTTCTCTTCCTGGAAGAAGGCCCGCCCCAGGCCACCCCCATGCAGCCAGGCGAACAGCTTGGCAAGGGTCCTGGAGTTCTCTCTGCTAGTCCTCATGCCGCTCCGTGTACCCACAGCCTCGTCCAGGGAAGAGTCTGGTTTTGTTCTGGTTTTTATTTTTGGATTTCCCCGCCCCCGCAAGGCCCTCGTCTCTAGTTGCTACCTCTGGAGTGGTGGAGGGTGGGGGGCTCACCAGACAGCAACGGACTCAGAGTTGATGTCAGAGATCCTTGGAGCAGAAGCAGTCTTGGAGATTGCTGGGCCGTGTGGGGAAGGCCTGGGGAAACCAGTGCTCTCTCAGGTGGTCAGGGTGCGCTCGAGGGGTACAACTCTTTGGAGGGAATTTGGCCGTTTCTACTTCTCAGATGCACAGGCCCTCTACTCCAGTCAGTCCACCTCTGGGACTCCGGTCTACAGAAAATCCACAGAGCTCCAAGCGCAAGGGTTCACTGCAGCAAAAAGCAAATCAGCCCAAAGGGCCACCATTAGGGGACTGTGTGAATAATTCTGGAGCATCCACTCGATAGAGTGTTGAGCCGCTGTGACAGAATCAGACAGATTCATATGCATAGGGATGGAGAGATGGCCGCTCTGCTTATTAGGTGAAGAAGCAAGTGGCAGAAAGGTATGAGTAGACGATATGCTTTTAGAAAAAAAGTTTCTGGATCTGGATGTATGTGTGAATACATATGTATAAACATGGAACTTACACGTGATGCTAGGGGCATAGAAAAAAAGTCTAGAAAAGATACTTGCCAAACCGTAGGGAGTTGAAATAGGAGCTTAAACCTTTTGACACACTCATGTTTGTGTCGTTTGAATTTTTTTAATATATGTGTCTGACTTTTATAAGTAGGAAAAAAAAGATGTAAGAAGAAGGAAAACACCTCCGTTGGTCTAGCCTAGTCATCCCTACAGGTGGGGAGGTGCCCTCTTGGGTCGTGCCTTAGGGGAGGTCGCAGGCCAACAGAGTGTTTGCTGAGCTGATACTGCCCGGCCCTTCTTGGGGCAGGATTCTGTAGGTGGAGCCAGGGGTCAGGGTTGCTGAGGGCAGCCCGGTGCCTGTGGGTGTAGCAGAGTGCCGAGCACAGGGGACGCTTGCCTCCTCTGCCCCAAGTGGACACTTCCTTTCTTTCTGAGATGTCCCAGCCCTGCTTGCCCCCAGGTAGCCAAGGACAAAGTAGTCTCCAGGGTCTCACGACACTCACAAAGTGTGCACCCTAGAGCAAATCACGATATGTTCTGAGAGCCTCCCAGGGAGCCTGAGTGGCCCTTAAAGGCGTAATGGGTGAGAAGGAACTTTGCCCACCACGCAGTGATATTTGTGAGGGACAGTTATGATGGCTCTTGATGTGATTCTTGGAGCAAATTCAGCTCTTAGGGGACAAAGCAATATGTTTCCTTTCGGAGGGGGAACCTGGGACCATGTGTGAGGGAAAGCATACTGCACAGACTGCAAACTGCTTGCCGCCGCCTTGGCTTTCCTGGGGTCTGAGCGCCTGGGAGAACCCGTAGGGGCCAGAGCTGAGGCAAAGGGGACCTCTTTTGACCCTCACACTCCCACGGCTAGTCACTATTTGTGTCTGGACCTTGAGAGACCAAGAGGAAAGCTAGGAGGGCTCTGAAACAGAAGTCAGATCAGCCCAGGGATTACTAGGATCTTCTGATTAGAAGTGAGGGTATTGTTTTTCACAGGGGCTGCAGAAGGCTGAGAAGCCCAATGTCACCGCAGTGAGTGTGCTGCGGGTTCGGCTGGGCAGTGGAACCAGGCTGGCAAACCTGGCTGGATTCTTCTCCCATTTCCTAAGCTGGAGTCCTTAGACCCCTTGACTTCAGGGGGTCAGGCCCACGAGCCCCTCGAAACTGAGAGTGAAATCGTGAGTGTATGGACGTCACGCAAAATTGCATGAATGTTTATGTGAACACAATTTTCCAGACATAGTTCGTAACTTTCATCAGAGGAGTCAGTGACCCAAAAGAGGCCGAGGCCGCGGGTGGACCCTCTCCCATGTTTCTTTCTTCATCTTTCCAGGTGGAAAGCAGTGACACGCCGAAGGACCCTGCGGTGACCTCCAAGTCCCCATCCATGGCCCAGGACTCTGGCCCCGCAGAGCTGTTACCCAATGGGGACTTGGAGAAGCGGAGTGAGCCTCAGCCAGAGGAGGGGAGCCCTGCTGGGGGTCAGAAGGGCGGGGCCCCAGCAGAGGGAGAGGGTGCAGCCGAGACCCCACCTGAAGCCTCCAGAGCCGTGGAGAATGGCTGCTGCACCCCCAAGGATGGCCGAGGAGCCCCCGCGGAAGAGGGTGAGTCCCGGGCTCAAGGGGCAGCTTCTTGTGGGCTCGCCTGAGGGTTGGAGATGTGGGGCCTAGCCGGTCCCTGAAGGCCTGGGCTGGGCATGGTGGCTGAAGGTCTCCTTGCCCAGGCCGTGCCCTGGAGGCTACTGATTGGATGCAGCCTACACTTAAGTTTTATTTGGCTCATGTAGTGTTTTAAACATTAAAAAAAATTAGTTGCTAATACTTAAAAATCAAGACATCTCATATAAAAATCTGGAGTTTTGGCTTTTCATGAAAAAAAGCTAGATCTGGCAACAGTGGGTTTGCAGAATGCCAACGGTTTATGGACTGGGATGGAGGCTGTCCCCTTCCCCTACACCTCCACCCCCAGGCTGGTCGGGCACTTCAGTTTCCCTCCGTCCCCACCTGGCCTGCTTACTCTTCCCCAAGACCTGCGGCTCTCAGGGGTCACTGTGCTTGAAGCCCCTGGCCTGGATGCCCAAGGGCAGCAGATGCCCTTGTGGGCGTTAAAAGCCCACGGAGCTGTCCTCAGCACACCTGTCCTGAGCCCACCATGGTTTAGTTGACTGGACTCAACTTTAGTTGTGACAGATGGGGTGGGGGAGGGGCACGTGGCTGGTGCACCGCCCAGCCCAGGCCTCTTCCTCTGGGGACTTCTTGGCCTAGCCCTGGAGTCCTGGAAAGTTGCCCACTTTTCTCTTTCAGGTTAAGCCAACATTTCAGGGCCAACCGAGCTGTAAACATGTTAGTAATGAGCACAACTAGCATTTGTACAGGGCTTCACAGTTTACAAAGCACTTTCTCATACATTATCACATTTGATCCTCCCAGGGCCCTGCCAGGTTGTTTTACATATGTGCATTTTAATTTCAAAAAAGTCTTCCTTCCAAGTGTGTATGATGGAATGAGTAAATTGATTAATTGGCATAACTCATTTTGCATGGATCCAAACCTAATATTCATGCAGAATTGAGAGCATCTCCAGAAAAGAGATTTCCAAATTTTATTTAAAAATACCTTTCGTGCATTTATTATTCAACTGAAAATATTTATGATGCTCCCGCTATGTGCAAAGCGCTTTCTGGGGTACTCTGTGTTCACTGTTTTACTCCTTCAAACAATCTTCTTCAAGAGGTGTTATTATCCTCATCGTAAGGCAGAAAAAAACGGAGGCTTCATGAGATGAAGTGACTTGCTCAGCAACCCCGAGCCCATAAGTGGCAGATCCAGGGTTTATTCCATCCTAGTCTCTGGCTTCAGAGTCGAGTCGGTGGACCTTTCCTCTCTCCCCTTTTATTCTGCAGTGGAACTTGGGTGGCTTGGCCCTGAGCTGTCTAGGGCTCCTAGCCTCACCCGAGCGTCTTCTGGGATGTGTCCTGACCCTCGATGGGAGTGTTCAAGGGACCTGAGTGGAGTAAAACAGAGGAGGAAAGGGAGCAGATACTACCCGTCCTGTTAAAAAGGCCAGGCGTGCAGGAGCAGAACCTGTCAGCCTTTCCCACCCAATGTACTGGTCCCCAGGGGCAGGTCTTGGCTGACTCCCAGATTCCTGGGAGCCCACCGTCACTGGCAGCCAGCTGCTGCCCAGGGTCCGGGCAGTCCTTCCTGGCTGGCGGGATGGAGCCACAACTCCAAGGCTGCTCTTCACCCTGGAGGGTTTGCTTTCAGTTTGGGATTTTCCCGTATACATTTCTGTTTGTTCTCAGGAGCTCCTTCTTCATTCGGTCAACAGGTGTTGGTTAAACACTGCTTTGGTCTGTGCCAAAGGCTCTAGGGAAACCCTCATAAACACAAACCTGGTTCCTGCCCTCAAGGGCCTCACAGTCAGCTGGAGAGACAGACATTAATGGGAAATTCACACTGAAAAGTGTGCGATTATACACAGAGATAAGTTCTCTATGGGAAAATGAACATGATTCTATGAGGAACTATAACAGAGGAATCGGGCTGGCCTGGGCTATTACCTCTAAGCCGAAGGATGAGCCAGGGTTCACCAGGTGAGGGGGGTGTGCAGGGAGGGAGTGAGAAGAGGTGAGGGAGCAGGGTACGCAGAGACTGACAAAATTCCATAAGGCCAGAGTGGAGAGAGGAAGGGAGAAGGGTGCGAGATGAGGGGAGAGCCAGAGCAGGCTTTGAGCCTGCTCATCCAGGGAGGGACATGATGTGCTTTGCATTTTGAAAGATCACTTTGCCATCTGGAATGGGGCCAGGAGGCAGGATGAGCAGTTAGGAGCTGCTGCAGGTGTCTGTCGAGGAGAGGAGGGTGGCTCTGATGAGCAAGGTGGCAGCAGAGGTGGAGAGAGATGGACGAGTGCTGAGGACATGAGGAGAAAAGGGAACGAGGTTCAAGGGTGACTCCTGCTTTGGGTGGATCTTCCTCAGAATCTTAGTGCTGAGCATGGCAGGCAAAAACACTCCAAGTCTCCTTGATCTTCAAAATCTGGCCTCAGAGCACTCCTGTGTGGCCGCAGCAGTCCAGGCAGTAGAGATGCTAGTGGAGGTCAGAGCTGGTGGGAATCCCTGAAGGCTGCTGTGAGCTGCCCAACGCTGAGACTGGTGAGGCGTTACGTGGAGGGGCGGGCAGTGCCTACTGGAGTCTTGGCCACCGTTCTAGCAGTCAGCCATATAGAACACGTACTCAGCTGTTTGGTTCCCAGAAGGAAGGAAAATAAGGCCCCAGGGAGGAAGTGACTTGGCTATGGTCTCCTTTCACTTCCCCCCATTCTAGGTCTGTTTTCAGGGGACTCTATCTGATCTACAGTTTCCCATAGATCGAATGCCACAAAGGGTCCCCAGTAGGGAACATCTGAGGTTGTAAGAACCTCTCTCCTGGAACTCCTTTCATTAGGTCCTGTACAGGACAAATGGAGGACTTTAAGGCGGTGTTCCCGTGGCCTGGGCACCCTCCTGTGTGCACTGTAGGAGCCCCGGATCCTGACAGAACGGCCAGGAGAAAGAAGGAGGAATAGGGGAGATGATGAGTAATCAGGACAAGAGCCACCTGGACAGGCAGGTGGTGGCCTTGGGAAGGCTCTCACACTCCTAGCATTAACGCCATCATGATGCTAACAGTAACGATGGTAGAGTGCTTTTCTTTTACTGAGAGTTCTGTATCCTCACTACTCAAAATGGTTCACACAACAGCTGGCATCACCTGACAAGTTAGGAGTGCAGACTCTCAGGCCCTACCCTGGACCTGCTGAATTAGAATCTACATGATAAAGCAATCCTCATGATTTCACTGCGTATTAAAGTTTGAGAAGCCCTGCTCTTTGTGTGTCCCCTTCTTTAATCTTTGTGATCATGTGAGGAGGACTCTTTCATCTCTATTTTTCATGTGTGGAGACCAAGGGTTCAGAGAGGTTAGGTTACCTCTCCAAGATGACACAACCTGTAAAGGACCAGGAGCTGCTCTCTCCTCAGACTGAGCACCCAGTACTGGGCTAATGGCTGCCCTCTCGGGCATCCTGACCTCGGCCCTGTCATTGAGATTTAGGTTCATTTCAAAGGGATTTTTGGGAGGCCCCCACTGAGTATAGTCTCAGACCAACAGATGTTAGAGGCACCCTGGCCGCCGCTGTCTCCAGGACCTGAGAGCCCTAGGGTCATGTCCAAGCCTGTCAGGGCCACCCTGGGGGGGCACACAGGCATCTGGCCCAGCCTGTGACCTGGGTCTGGGCCAGGAGCAGATGGCCTGCAGAGGGAGTGTTGAGAGAGCAGCTGACCCTCCTCCACTCAGGACAAATGCAGCAATCTGAGGCAGCTTGGTTTGTTGCTTTGCTTGCCCAAGTGTGTGTGCGATATCACTCAAGTGAGCATGCGCGCAGTCTGACAGCTAGAAAATTCCAGAAAGACGGCAGTTAGAAACTACACAGAGAAAAGTAATTCCATTTGGAGGCTCATGGGGGCCAGGGAATGGGAAAAGGGGAACGTCAAGGTGGTGCAGTATAAAGTGAGCTGTCTTCTCAGTTCTGGTAAGTCGCTCCAATTCCCGAGCCTCAGTTTCCCCATCGGCAAAATCTAAGGGCTGGGGGAATACTCCATCATCCTAACAATTTCTTTCAGCGCTGATTTTCTTTCATTCAAATGAATGAATTATTTCCCATAGATCAATGCCACGGACAAATGCGTCAGACAGCCCCTGGTAGGGAATGTTTGAGGTCCTAAGGACCTCCAGGTGCAGCCTGATCTGAGGGCGGGCGCCCCCTTCTGGCAGCGCAAAGCCTCGTCGGGCAGAACTTGTAGGTCGGAGAGGAGCTGGGGATCCGGGAGGGGTAGGGAGGGGTAGGGAGGCCCCTGGCTGGTGGAAGGAGGAGCCCGGCTCTAGGAGGCCGGAGAAAAATTTGAGGAGCTGGCAGTGGTGAGAGGAGAGGGCCTATAGGAAACACGGATGAAGAGGCTGAGAAAGTCCTGGCGAGAACATACCTTGAAAGAACTGTCTGTACAAAGCGTCAGCGAATACACGTGCGCGCACCCCACGCGACGGACTCACGCGCTTCCTCTCCCGCGCCCCACCGCAGCCAGCTCGGCCCGGCGGGTGTGGCATGACACACGTGCAGTGCCTGGTGTCCAGGCATCCAGGGTGCCCCCACAGGGCTTGCCTTGCCTCTCCCTCTCCCAGGGCTCCAGGTCTCTGTAACCCAGAACCGCCTTGGTCCGTGCCTGGGACAGACGCGTGCAGACGCAGACGAGAGCCCCAGGTCTTCTTTCGTGAGAGGGAGGGACCAAAACATCCTCTGGGCGCTGAGGATTCAGAGGCCTTTAGTGTTGTGGCTGGTTTCCGCTTCTGGGCCAGGAGATGAAGTAGGGGCTGTTTTTTCCGTTTTTGGCTCTTTGTGACCCCCTCCGCTGCTCCCCTCCCCCAGCCTTAGTGACCTTCCTGCTTTGGGCCCAAGCTCAATACTCTTGGCTTCAGAGAAGGGAATTCAGGGGCCCAGGTAGGAGGGAGGGCTCCCTCTCCCAGCCCTCCTGTGTTAAGCTCAGGAAGGCATAATTAACCCAACCCCACAGCCAGGGCCGGCCCGCTGCAGGTTGTGCTGGGCCTGGGACGGGCATCTGAGAGAAGAGGACCCTGAGGGTAGGAGGCAGGAGTGTTCTGGAGGAATATGGCAGCCCTCCCGCCTGGGGCCAGGAGAAGGACTGGGAGAGGATAAGGGTCTCCTAAAGACAGCGCTGCTGGGGCTTCTGCCCCCCGAAGGAGCCTTTCCTTCCAGGAACCGGAATCCCAGCCAGGTGAGGACTTTCAGGGAGGAGGAGCAGGGAACTGCCGCCTTAGGGAAGGGGAGCAAAACTCACGTTGGTTGAGCACCTATTATATGCCAAGCCCCATTCTAGGCACTTAATGTTCCCAATAACCCGAAGATTGTAGAAGGGTTATCTATGGGATTCGGTGAGGACACAGGCTGGGAGAGGTTACAGAGGTCACATGAAGGCAGCTGGAATCCAGGTCTTCTAGAATAAAGGCTGGGCTCAGGAACCTGGGAATGGGGTGGGGAATAGGGTACAGAGGCAGACATTAATAAGAAGCACAATATTGAGAACTGCAGGAAGACCTTAGAAATCATCTCTAGCATCTTTATTTTCCAGAGGAGGAAACAGTCCCATAGAGGTGAAGTCTTGCTGCAGTCGCCCTGTTCCTCTCCCCACCCTCCAGGGCCCACACGTGGAAGGAGATGCTCCATTCCAGGGCCAGGGGAAGCTGTGTAGTCTGGCCCCTCCTCTGGGAAGGGAGCTCTGTTGACTGGGAGGAACCGAGTGGGGCAATTTCTAGATGACCCCTTCTGTGTGCCTGAGACAGTCAATGGGCCAGAACCACAGCCCTGGCTTTTCTGTCGTCCAGATGTGGGCCTCCAACCCTGCCCAGTCCCTTCTCTGCTCTGGCCGTGCCCTGAGTCCTTGGAGCCAGCATGGTGCCTGGCACATGGTGGGCCATCAGGTTTGACATATGAACAACTAATTGGTTGGAGAACCCCTGTCCCCATGGCAGGGAACTCAGGAACGAGGTGGGGCCTCCGAGCCACTCCCGTAACTCTGCGACAGTCCCCTTTGTTCTTCCCTCTCCACAGGCAAAGAACAGAAGGAGACCAACATCGAGTCCATGAAAATGGAGGCAAGTGTTTTCCTCAACCCCCAGGGGCTCTGTGGATCCTGATTCTAGGAGAAGAAAGTCACCGCTCTGACCAGCCGTGGCGAGTGTGTGTGAGGGGAGCTTGAGGTGGCCCCTGTCCCCTTCTTTATACATCCCTCTGTGAGGAGGAGAGGAAGTGGGTGTGGAGGTTGGAAGTCCCCCAAGGCAGCCATCTGGTCCCACTCCGAGACCAAGCACCTCCCCTCCTGGTTTCTGTCCATGTCACCCCCACCCCAATGGCTCACTTCCCCAGCCCAGACAGGGGCTTGCTCAGCACGTGCAGGGATGACCAGGGGTCAGAGCTCCTGGGCTCCAGTTGAGGTGGGCGCCTCCTCAGTTTCCCCTCCAGGAGGAACACACCCTGCAGTGGGACTGCCAGTGCCCATCTTAATGCCGGTCTCTCTGTCGTCTCTGTCCTAGGGCTCCCGGGGCCGGCTTCGGGGTGGCTTGGGCTGGGAGTCCAGCCTCCGCCAGCGGCCCATGCCGCGGCTCACCTTCCAGGCGGGGGACCCCTACTACATCAGCAAGCGCAAGCGGGACGAGTGGCTGGCACGCTGGAAAAGGGAGGTGAGGTGCCTTCTGGCCTGGGCCCCAGCCAGTCCCACGGTATTGGAAGACCAGAAGTTAGCTTCAGCCACCCCCTGAGGCTGTCGTCAGGCCCTGGCCGAGCCTAAGTTTCCCATTCAGGTTAACCTCTCATACTGCTAATCCCCAGGCAGTGACTGGTTCCTTTGTTCTTCCAACAAATAGTTATTGAACACTTCCCGTGTATCAGGCAGTATACTAGGCTCTGTGCATCTATGATTCTTGTCCTCATGGAGTTGATATCCTGATGGGGGACAATGTCCGAAAACAAGTAAACGGGCTGAAATAGAGGATAAGAGAGGCCTGCTCTGGGTGGGGTGGTCAGGAGAGGCTTCTCGAAGGAAGTGGCATTTAAGTTGAGTCCTGAAGGAATGGAAGAGCTGGCTGTGAGATGCAGGTGAGAGAGAATGTTCTAGGTGGAGGAAACAGCGCAAGCAAGGCCCTGACTTGTTTGGCGAAATGAAAGACCAGTATGCTCAGAGTAAAATGAGCAAGGGAGAAAGTCGGGCCAGACAAGCCTGAGAGATAAGAAGGGTCCAATCACACAGGGCCTCGCAAGTCCTGGCCAAAAGCTGGTTTAATTCTGAGTACGCTGGGAAGCCATTGAAGGGTTCCGTACAGAGGAATGAGTTGATGTAGATTAAAGGGGCAGCAGTGGAGACGGAGGACAGATGCAGGATATATGCTGATAGAATCAGTAGGGTTTGCTGATGGATGAGAGGGGTAGAGAAGGGGAGGGAACACAAGGCTCAAAGAAGACCCCCAAAACACCCAGTGATGGTTGTGTCGTTTTCTTGGATGGGGAAGACTAGTGAGGAACAACAGATTTGGGATGTGTGGGAATCGAGAGTTCCAGCTGGGATGCTCTGAAGTGCCTGGAACCCGGATGGAGGGAGGTGTGGGCTGCTAACACAGAGGTGGGAGGGGCATCTAGAGCAGAACCTGTGGAAACTGATGAGCTCACCTGGAGGGTGGGGACAGAGACTAAGTCCTGGGACTGCATCCACAGGAACCCCAATATTTAAGGGCTTTGTAGAGAGGAAGGGTGGCAGGCAGCAGGGACTGAGAGGGGGCCTAGGAGGAAGCCAAGGGAAGACGAGTGGGGTCTCAGAGAGAAGGAGGTTTTCTGATGAGAGTTGTCTGGCTGCCCAGCCCTGTGGAAGCTGAATTTGTTGAGACGTACCCATTGCATCCGACTAAGTGGAGGTAGCTGGTGACTTTTCTAAGAGAAGCTTCTGTGGGGGTCGTGAGGTGGGTGGGAGCCAACCCCTGCGGGGTGGAGGGGGGCACCAGCAGCGAGAGGAAGGCGTGCAGTGGAGACCGAAAATCCAAGGGAAGATGGGTCCACCCAAGCAGGACTGGCGGGGCTGCTCCGCAGTCAGAATTCTGGGGAGAAGGCACGTTGACCTGCCTGCACCAGGAAGGGAGCGGAAATGCAGTGAATTTCCACCACCTGGGGCACTTCACTCTCACTCTCACTAGTCTTTACCCCAGGCCTGCAGAGGAAGGCAGTATCCTGTTACATGGTGTGAGAGTTCACTCTAGAGAAAGTTCAAAACGAGGTGGGGATTTGGCAACTTGATTGTTTCCAGTTCCTCCTGGATCCAGGAAGGCAGAGATTATGCTCCTAGAAGAGCTTGGAAAAGGGGCAGCCAGTCCAGGTCTGGAGAAGAGAGGGACTTGACCTTGAGCGTTAAGTGTGGTCTTTGGGATGGAAATTGAGAACTGGGACTATTCTTTCCACCTAGTCAATGGCCCCATTCCTGGACCCCTGGAACCAGGGGTGGGGCTTCGCTTTTTAATCCCTTGTTATGCATGGTGCTTTCTCTGCCCTCCCGTAGCCCTGGGGGCAGAGGCTTAGACTTAATAACTTTTAGACCTGCAAGAGCTTCTAGAAATTCTGTGATCCTCAAACCCTGCCCCCTTGAAGAAGCAGTATGGAGGCCTGTCCTCACTTGCAATGAAAAAGGAGATCTTTTCTCAACTTGCGGGGAAAATTAAGATGATAGATACATTCTCTCATTTTAAGTTTTTTACTAAAATTTAAAAAGACTCATGAACCTCTTGGACACCCACAGAAGTAGAAAGAGTAGTATAATGAACCCCCATGAACATATCATGGGGCTTCAACATTCATCAGAAGCTTTTCTAGAAGAATCTTAAACCTTTGGTATTTGCTTCCCCACCCCCAACCAATCTAGGTAACCAATGAGTATTAACAGAAAAACTTGAGTTGATTTAATTTAAAATATTTTACTAGGAAGACCAGGTGCTGTAGGCGTAAAAAAAATAAAAAATAAAGGATTGTAAGCTGACAAGGTCCTTGCAATCTGTGAGGTCAACCGATGTTGCCTCACCTAAAAAACTTTAAATAAGTAAAAAATTAAAATTAAAATATTTTAGGTATGTGCAACTTGAGATGTACAGACCTACAAACAAAATATGTTTTCTGCTAGTAAAATCGTTCCTTTTTCATATGATATAACCAAAGATGTCTGTAAAGAATTCCATGGCTTGCAGTGCAAGTATTAGAACTGTTGATCCCCTCATTTTCAGACGAGGGGTCTGGGACTGCAGGGTTGTGCGCTGGCCACAAGCTCACGCAGCGCACAGGGAATGGGCTGGAATGCGATTAGAACTCAGGCTTCCTACTGCCGCGTGGGGCCTGGTCCCAAAGACCACACTTACCCCTCTGGGGCTCTGCCGGGTGGCTAGGGGAGGGGTAGCTGCAGGTAACAAAGATATTTGCGAAACAGAGGTACCTTTCAAGATTCCCAAGTCCCCCTCACACTAAAGAGTTTTAACTGTGGCCATCAGGCCTGTTTTCTAGGTGACTTACCAAGGGTAAAGAAATTCTTCCTTCACAATCTCGTCTTGGTTCTCTGGCATTTGACCCTTTCTTCTGAGATTTTTTCCCCATTTCTTCCAACTGCAGCCTCCTCTGTCTCTCAACTGCGGCACCCCCAGATCTCTGCTCCCACTTTCTGCCTGTATTGATCCCCTTACCACTTCTGTGCTCTCTTAGATCCTATGACCTGCCCTCCTCCCCAAAATGGCGTCTCCCCTCCTCCTGTTTCTCAGGCTTTGTCCCTTGAAGGTCCAGCCAGCATTCCCTGACCTTGGCATGAGACATCTGCTTTTTAAAAATTCCTGCAAGACACCATTATTGAGCTGACACCTGGAAGCCTAGGGGACTCTTAGTTGTCCCGGGATAGGCTGAGGGCTTGGGGTACCTCAGGAAGAGCACCACCCCAAGGGGTCATCCACACACCAGCAAGAGGTGGCTTTTGGCTTTTGAAGGATGAACTGAAGTTAGGGAAGGGGGAGGAAGGGCATTGCGGGAAGATGTGTACAGCATGTGCATCGGTTCCAAGGCAGAACACAGATGGCATGGCCTTCTCAGGAATGGAAGTTCGTGGAGGCGGAGCACAGGGAATAGGGGGCTGAGAGCAGCAGGAAGGTGGCTGGGCAGTTAGGTGAGGCCAAGGCAGGGTCCGAGGGCTTGTGTGCCCTGCTATGGGGCTCCCGCCAGACCCTGGTCTGCGCCCGCCTCTTTCCTGGTCCACACCCCCCACCTGTGGGGCTGCCTTCCTCCAAAACTTCCTCAGTTTAATTTCCTTTTCCCATGATCACCCTTGTCAGTCAGTCCACAGTTACTGAGGGAGGCCTATTCTTTACTTTTGTGTCTATCCGAGATAACCTACCTCCCCAGGCTTTCCTACCTCCCCACCCCCAAAAATGTAAGACTTAGAATGTCACAAAACAGAGGGATCTAGACTTCAAGTGGTGAACGAACACACAATTGAGTATGCAGATGTCATAGAATGGTACACTGAAAATTTATATTTTATTAACCAACGTCACCCCAACATATTCAATTTTTAAAAAAGAATATCACAAAATGAATGAAATTTAAAGTCAGCGAATGAGGAAAATGGAGCATTTCTCCCTTCCCGGAGGCAGAAGTGGGAATTCCTGCTAGAGCTGGGAAGCTGTTGTCTTCCCTGCCCCAGCTCCTGTTCTCTGCACCTCCTTACTAATCCTTTTAAAGATTAAGCTCTGCTTTAATCATGACCGGGTCCTGCTGTAAAACCTACAGTGGATCCCTGTCTCCTCCTGTATCATGTCAGAAATCCCCTGGCTGTTTCCCAAGGCTGCAACCTTCACTGTGACCATGATCGCCCCTCTCCACTTCACTTCCATTTTCTAATACGAGGGACCAGCCTCCCCTTTTTACTTGTCGTGCTCCTTCCTTTCACCTCACTCTTGTTCATGCTCTGCTTTTCCCTATCCATTCTTCAGGCTTGAGGCCAAGAGCTGTTGCCTCCTCCAGGAAGCTCTTCAGGATTTCTCTAGCCTGCACTGACCTCTTCCCTTCTCTGTACCCCTGTAGCCCTTATCGATAATATTATTGGATTTAGCACTCAGTTTCATAGAGTATGTTCCACTATTTTTTATGGGTTAATCATGTCTTCTTCCACTGTGTCCAACCTGGTATGGAGCAGAGAGAACAGGCTCAATGAATACCTGTTGGTTGGCTAAGCAGTTGGGAGGTTGGCGAATGTGGGACCCCTTCTCAGGGAGCTCAGCCCTTGGATTTCCACCTTGAGGGCCCGAGCCCTTGGCTCCCGGGAGTGCCAACAGGTGTACCTGGAGGAAAACATAGGGCCAGGGGACCTGTGTAGGCAGGCTCCCATGGGTGACGTGGTGCCCTGACCCTTTTCTACCCTGTGCTCCTGCTGTTCCCACTGGGCCTCCTCTGTGCCCGAGTGAGGAGAGGCTCAAGGCGCAGGTGAGGCAACTGCCCCTCCCTAAGGAAGGCAAGTCCTGGGCTCCTCTTTCTACTAATGAGCAGAACAAAAAGACCCAAGGGAGTTCTTTGGGTCTGGCAAGGGCTCCTCACAGGTGTTCCTTCATTGGTCCTCGACCCTGTGAGGCAAAGGGGTGCAGCTGGAGCGGTTACCCAGCCACAGGGCCTCCCT